CGGTGATGATGCCACAAAACTAATTAGATGTCAGAGGGATGCGGCTACATCCTGAGTGTGAAGACAAACCATGCGCGTCGACTGAGGACTTGATCGGTGCTGTTTGGACATGTTTGGACTGGCTCTGACTGATTGGAACTGTTACGGCTGGGCGTGATTCCTTGGGAGTGGTTGGGAAAGTCGAGAACAACTTTGGACTGGGGACTGAAAACTGAGTTACCACGGCCAAAAGGAAAAGGGGCCGGCAAACTAGCTTGAGCTTGAATCTTGCCCATTTGCAGGGGCCAATCATGTGAGAAGAACTTGGGTTGTGCCGACAGTGCCGAAATGTCGTTGTGTGCATTCTAGATTGATCGTGGCTGAAAGATGGCTGAATGATGAGCAGTAGATATCCAACACCCTTTTTCTGATCAGTTTTGAAGAGATCTGGACTGCATCCCTCATCGCTCTGACGCATGGAAGAACGAGCTATCGGACACGGCCAAAGGTCCCGCTTTGTGGAAGATGGGTCCGGAGATGATGTCACAAAACTAATTAGATGTCAGAGGGATGCGGCTACATCCTGAGTGTGAAGACAAACCATGCGCGTCGACTGAGGACTTGATCGGTGCTGTTTGGACTTGTTTAGACTGGCTCTGACTGATTGGAACTGTTATGGCTGGGCGTGATTCCTTGGGAGTGTTTGGGAAAGTCGAGAACAACTTTGGACTGGGGACTGAAAACTGAGTTACCACGGCCAAAAGGAAAAGGGGCCGGTAAACTAGCTTGAGCTTGAATCTTGCCCATTTGCAGGGGCCAATCATGTGAAAAGAACTTGGGTTGTGCCGAAATGTCGTTGTGTGCATTCTAGCTTGATCGTGGCTGAACGATGGCTGAATGATGAGCAGTAGATATCCAACACCCTTTTTCTGATCAGTCTTGAAGAGATCTGGACTGCATCCCTCATCGCTCTGACGCATGGAAGAACGAGCTACCGGACACGGCCAAAGGTCCCGTTTTGTGGAAGATGGGTCCGGTGATGATGTCACAAAACTAATTAGATGTCAGAGGGATGCGGCTACATCCTGAGTGTGAAGACAAACCATGCGCGTCGACTGAGGACTTGATCGGTGCTGTTTGGACATGTTTGGACTGGCTCTGACTGATTGGAACTGTTACGGCTGGGCGTGATTCCTTGGGAGTGGTTGGGAAAGTCGAGAACAACTTTGGACTGGGGACTGAAAACTGAGTTACCACGGCCAAAAGGAAAAGGGGCCGGTAAACTAGCTTGAGCTTGAATCTTGCCCATTTGCAGGGTCGTTGTGTGCATTCTAGCTTGATTGTGGCTGAAAGATGGCTGAATGATGAGCAGTAGATATCCAACACCCTTTTTCTGATCAGTCTTGAAGAGATCTGGACTGCATCCCTCATCGCTCTGACGCATGGAAGAACGAGCTACCGGACATGGCCAAAGGTCCTGCTTTGCGGAAGATGGGCCCGGTGATGATGTCACAAAACTAATTAGATGTCAGAGGGATGCGGCTACATCCTGAGTGTGAAGACAAACCATGCGCGTCGACTGAGGACTTGATCGGTGCTGTTTGGACATGTTTGGATTGGCTCTGACTGATTGGAACTGTTATGGCTGGGCGTGATTCCTTGGGAGTGTTTGGGAAAGTCGAGAACAACTTTGGACTGGGGACTGAAATCTGAGTTACCACGGCCAAAAGGAAAAGGGGCCGGTAAACTAGCTTGAGCTTGAATCCTGCCCATTTGCAGGGGCCAATCATGTGAGAAGAACTTGGGTTGTGCCGAAATGTCGTTGTGTGCATTCTAGCTTGATCGTTGCTAAAAGATGGCTGAATGATGAGCAGTAGATATCCAACACCCTTTTTCTGATCAGTCTTGAAGAGATCTGGACTGCATCCCTCATCGCTCTGACGCATGGAAGAACGAGCTACCGGACACGGGCAAAGGTCCCGTTTTGTGGAAGATGGGTCCGGTGATGATGTCACAAAACTAATTGGATGTCAGAGGGATGCGGCTACATCCTGAGTGTGAAGACAAACCATGCGCGTCGACTGAGGACTTGATCGGTGCTGTTTTGACATGTTTAGACTGGCTCTGACTGATTGGAACTGTTACGGCTGGGCGTGATTCCTTGGGAGTCGTTGGGAAAGTCAAGAACAACTTTGGACTGGGGACTGAAAACTGAGTTACCACGGCCAAAAGGAAAAGGGGCCGGTAAACTAGCTTGAGCTTGAATCTTGCCCATTTGCAGGGTCGTTGTGTGCATTCTAGCTTGATCGTGGCTGAAAGATGGCTGAATGATGAGCAGTAGATATCCAACACCCTTTTTCTGATCAGTCTTGAAGAGATCTGGACTGCATCCCTCATCGCTCTGACGCATGGAAGAACGAGCTACCGGACATGGCCAAAGGTCCGGCTTTGCGGAAGATGGGCCCGGTGATGATGTCACAAAACTAATTAGATGTCAGAGGGATGCGGCTACATCCTGAGTGTGAAGACAAACCATGCGCGTCGACTGAGGACTTGATCGGTGCTGTTTGGACATGTTTAGACTGGCTCTGACTGATTGGAACTGTTACGGCTGGGCGTGATTCCTTGGGAGTGTTTGGGAAAGTCGAGAACAACTTTGGACTGGGGACTGAAAACTGAGTTACCACGGCCAAAAGGAAAAGGGGCCGGTAAACTAGCTTGAGCTTGAATCTTGCCCATTCGCAGGGGCCAATCATTTGGGAAGAACTTGGGTTGTGCCGACAGTGCCGACATGTTGTTGTGTGCATTCTAGATTCATCGTGGCTGAAAGATGGCTGAATGATGAGCAGTAGATATCCAACACCCTTTTTCTGATCAGTCTTGAAGAGATCTGGACTGCATCCCTCATCGCTCTGACGCATGGAAGAACGAGCTATCGGACACGGCCAAAGGTCCCGTTTTGTGGAAGATGGGTCCGGTGATGATGTCACAAAACTAATTAGATGTCAGAGGGATGCGGCTACATCCTGAGTGTGAAGACAAACCATGCGCGTCGACTGAGGACTTGATCGGTGCCGTTTGGACATGATTAGACTGGCTCTGACTGATTGGAACTGTTACGGCTGGGCGTGATTCCTTGGGAGTGTTTGGGAAAGTCGAGAACAACTTTGGACTGGGGACTGAAAACTGAGATACCACGGCCAAAAGGAAAAGGGGCCGGTAAACTAGCTTGAGCTTGAATCTTGCTTATTGCTTGTTGCAGGGGCCAATCATGTGACAAGAACTTGGGTTGTGCCGAAATGTCGTTGTGTGCATTCTAGCTTGATCGTGGCTGAAAGATGGCTGAATGATGAGCAGTAGATATCCAACACCCTTTTTCTGATCAGTCTTGAAGAGATTTGGACTGCATCCCTCATCGCTCTGACGCATGGAAGAACGAGCTACCGGACATGGCCAAAGGTCCCGTTTTGTGGAAGATGGGTCCGGTGATGATGTCACAAAACTAATTAGATGTCAGAGGGATGCGGCTACATCCTGAGTGTGAAGACAAACCATGCGCGTCGACTGAGGACTTGATCGGTGCTGTTTGGACATGTTTAGATTGGCTCTGACTGATTGGAACTGTTACGGCTGGGCGTGATTCCTTGGGAGTGTTTGGGAAAGTCGAGAACAACTTTGGACTGGGGACTGAAAACTGAGTTACCACGGCCAAAAGGCGTACTAGCTTGAGCTTGAATCTTGCTTATTGCTTGTTGCAGGGGCCACTCATTTGGGAAGAACTTGGGTTGTGCCGACATGTCGTTGTGTTTATTCTAGCTTGATCGTGGCTGAAAGATGGATGAATGATGAGCAGTAGATATCCAACACCCTTTTTCTGATCAGTCTTGAAGAGATCTGGACTGCATCCCTCATCGCTCTGACGCATGGAAGAACGAGCTATCGGACATGGCCAAAGGTCCTGCTTTGCGGAAGATGGGTCCGGTGATGATGTCACAAAACTAATTAGATGTCAGAGGGATGCGGCTACATCCTGAGTGTGAAGACAAACCATGCGCGTCGACTGAGGACTTGATCGGTGCCGTTTGGACATGATTAGACTGGCTCTGACTGATTGGAACTGTTACGGCTGGGCGTGATTCCTTGGGAGTGTTTGGGGAAAGTCGAGAACAACTTTGGACTGGGGACTGAAAACTGAGTTACCACGGCCAAAAGGAAAAGGGGCCGGTAAACTAGCTTGAGCTTGAATCTTGCTTATTGCTTGTTGCAGGGGCCAATCATTTGGGAAGAACTTGGGTTGTGCCGACAGTGCCGACATGTTGTTGTGTGCATTCTAGATTCATCGTGGCTGAAAGATGGCTGAATGATGAGCAGTAGATATCCAACACCCTTTTTCTGACCAGTCTTGAAGAGATCTGGACTGCATCCCTCATCGCTCTGACGCATGGAAGAACGAGCTACCGGACATGGCCAAAGGTCCTGCTTTGCGGAAGATGGGCCCGGTGATGATGTCACAAAACTAATTCGATGTCAGAGGGATGCGGCTACATCCTGAGTGTGAAGACAAACCATGCGCGTCGACTCAGAACTTGAGCGGTGCTGTTTCGACATGTTTAGACTGTCTGTGACTGGTTGGAACTGGTACAGCTGGGACCGATTTGGAGTGTTTGGGATAGGCGAGGATTGCTTGGCACTGAGGACTGAGTAGGGGCCGGAAAACTAGCTTGAGATTGATGCTTGCATATTGCTTGTTGTAGGGGCCAAGCATTTGGGAAGAACTTGGGTTGCGCAGGAAAGTTGTTGTGTGCTAGACTGATCGCTGCATGATTCCGAACGCGTGGCTGACGGAGCGCTGAATGATGAGCAGATATCCAACACCCTTTTTTGTATCTATGGAGGCTTGAAAGCAGCTGCGCTTGCAGGCATGTCGCGCTTCCAATTCAGTGTGGTTCCCTTTTTTTGAGGGTACTCCTTTTTCTTGCAATTCTAAGCCGCAAGGTCATAGAACTGGGGGCCATTCTGAGGCCCTACGAGTTCATCTTCTCTTCGGCAGCATGTACGAGTCCTGTGCCTGCTTGGCTGCAGTTGAGATGTTCGTGGGTCACACAAGGACAACTTGCTGGCAGTTTTTACACGAATCTGGAAGGACTTGTCCAATGCGAGCGGCCAGTCCCGTTCTCATGGAGTTTGATTTTCTTCCAGTGAAGTGGTCTGAGGCTTTTAAGAAGCTGCAAAGTTCTGTTGAGAAACTGCAAAGTTCTTCCATCATACGGTGCTTGACTGGTATAGTGCGAATGCTGAGCTCTGCGAACATCGGCATTTGCTGACTTCCTGCTCCACAGCCACTGCAAATCCTTAAACCACCCCGTCCGCTTGTCTTTTTCCAAGGTGTTGCAACAAACGAAAGAAGTTCCAGGCGTCTCCAGTCAGACCTGGAAGCTGAGGTCAGCCTTTTTTGCGCCATCTTCGGAGGCAATGAGCCTGGCCTGCAGAAAGTGCTTGACGTCCTCCGCTTCAAACGGATTTTTGAATCATGTGTCGAACTCCAGTTCTTAGCTTGTTGCAGTGGGTTCGACGGATACCAGTCATGTGATCTGGGGCAACGGTGCCCTCATTTTAGCTGGCCATCTAGTGCATCTAGTTTCCACGGGTCCACTGGCAGTCCTTAAGGTCTTTTGGGTCTGCTATGTACTTGAGATGAAACCATGCTTGTCGTTTGGTGTGGCTTGCTAAGCTCGGCTTGGGTCTGCCACCCCTGCATTGCTTGCGTTTAGAGATCGATTTTGTGGGCTTGGTTTCGACTCATCTTTTGTGAGAAGCGCCCAAGCTCTCGACTGGTGAGTGTTGGTGGGTGACTGACTATACTATACCATATTGCGTGGCAACAAGGGCATGACTGAGGGTTATCAGGACTTTTGCAAGCTCACCAACTTGTCAGAAGCCCACCTGAAAGGGGCTTTCAGTGCTCGAACTTGCTGAACAAGAGCGTGAGAGGTGATTGGCCCTTGGTTTGACCAATAGGTGCGCTGGAATGGTTCAGACCAAGGATTGGATGTTCTACGGAGATATGCTTCGCATCCTGGGCTCTGGCGATTTGCATCTTGACTGCAACTCTTCATGGTTATCAAGAAGAGTGTAATTCGCGTGCAGGGTGGCTTCATGGTCCTTTAATCGAGGCAAAACAATCAGGTCTGAAGAAACACCGCACATTCCAAAGAAACATGATGTCAGACTGTGCCACACGGAAAGAGTTCAGAAGTTGGTTTATTGCTTGTTGTTAGCACAAAATATGTACGGTACCCTTTTCTTAAGGTTTTCTGCCTTCCTTTGGCGAAGGCACATGTGGCAGATCAAAAGACATTCGTTCGAAGAGCTATGTGATGAAAGTGATTTGCGGATGGAGGCTTTCCCCGCGGGAACGAGGCCGTTCGCAGAAGACGCCGCAACCTTTCACGACACTTACCCTTACTCCCTCCCCCCAACGTGGCACCTGACAGGGGGTCCCTTTATGAGGAAGTTGATCTTCCAGGTACCCTTCCACAAATGCTATGTTAGTGGGAGGAAGGGTAGCCAGCGGCAGCATTCCTGTCATTTTTTTCCTGGGAAAGGTACCCGTCAGACCGGCAAAATCTTGACAGAAGGTTTTGCGCAACAGTTTAGTGGCGGGCATGTTGAAAGTTATGGTCATCCTGTAGGAAGCCCAAACATGCCCAACAAAGACATGGGTTGATCGCGGGGTGAGAGTGCGAGAGGTGAGCTCAAGATTTTGAGCTCGTGCCTTCGATTTCGTGGCTCCTGCGAGGTACTTTGTATTTTTCCTGTTCTACATTGGCTTCTGCCTGGGTCTGAGCAGTGGCAACTGGGGCACTTGGACACTGAAAGTTTGCCCTAAGCCGCACTACACTGGCGGGGGCATTGGGCTATTGGGGTCTGAGAGCTGAGCGTTGGGCGCCAAACGCTAGATGAGCCACCAGGCAAGGCAGAATGCCAAAGACAAAGATGCACATAACTCGATGCTGGGCTTGCGCTTGGCAATTTCAATGCTTCAATGGGCAGACAACTCTTTTGACCTGGCCTTCAATCGCAGTGATTATCCTGCATGCACCTGAGATGTTTGGTTTGCCGTCCTGGTATATACCTCTTCAACATTCGGATTTGAACGTAGTGCCTGCTGTTTTTTTTTGTTTTTCCTTCTTCGTTTTCATGCTTTGTTGCCGCCTTTGCCATAGAGACCATTCGTTGCCCCATGGGTGTGTGTTTGTGTGTTTGTCGAGCTTTTGGGGCCCAGATTCTGTGGTTGTGAGCAAACTTCAATATCGTTGCTCCGATTCTTCCATTTCCTAAAATGAACGCTTGTTAGTTTCCCCTTTTATGTTTTCCTGGGGACTTAAGCAAATGGAGGGTTTGAATTGCGGAAAAGTCTTTGCACCATGTACCCAAAAGGCGTGCAAGTTGCGGATGTGCATTCATGCAACCTTTGATACATGTCAATTGTGCACATGTTACCGCAAGGGCAACGAGTGTGAATTGTGCGGCTGGTTTGGGGGCCACTGAGCTTGATGTGTATCAAATCGCTTGCCAGGGTTGAAACATTTGTTTGAATGGTTCCTGTTTGGGTATGGGTCAAAAAAAGATTAAACCACCAGGGAACCGTGTTGAGTCCTTGTTTCCACTTACCAGGGCAACCCATTTCGGGTCGGGCACCGATTTTTGACCCAGAGCCATTTCCGTTCGTCGTGATCAGTGGATCCGGTGAGCCAGCGGCCACCGCGCGCCGAGCTGATTTTGTTCCTTCGCTGGTGGAGGTGGCGGGGGCGTTTGGGTGGCGGGGGTGGCGGTGGTATCAGTATTGTTGTCGGTGTTTTTGTCGTCGTTGCTGAAATTGTTCATCATCATCATCATCATCATCATCATCATCATCATGAATCACATTCTTCTTCTTGGTTGCTTTCTTGCTTTTTGTTTTGATGGTGGCGGCGATGGTGGCGGTAGCAGAGCGTTAAGATGCTGACTGAGGCCTAGTGGGACTTCTCAATGTGGTCACCGGTATCTTCGTTGATAGCGCTGTGTGTACACGTACTGAGGACGAGGCGTGATGGGACATGTTCGAAACACGGGACTGGCAGATGAGAGATTTGCTTGGCGAATGCTGGCAACATTGAGCCCAGCTATTCGAACATTGAGGGGTTTATGCCCAATGTATGGACCATCAACTCAAACCCACATCATGCGGACTGCACTTGTCCATGCGGCATGGAGCTCAAACTTGAACGGGTTGACGAGGCCTTTAAGCTGCAGAGCTTCAAAGCATAAGGCCAAGATTTCGAGCCAGCCGGAACTTGAAAGCCTCATCGTCCGTCAAGCAGCCATTCAATCCAAATGGTTGCTTGCGTGACGACGCCCTGCCACTTACTGTCAGCACAGGGGTCCATGAAGAAACCTTTGCTGCAATCATTTCACAGCGAGTCGCTACATCCAAACGCGATGGATGTTGACCAAGTGCCGTTGGAACGACAGCACGCTGAAAGCTTCGATAACTGAGATGCATTGGCTGCTTAAAGATGTGCGGCCCATTGACAATAAAGATTGTTCTCAAGACACAACACTTATATGCCCGGTCCGAGTACACGAGTCATGTTTTTGTTTTTTTTGTTCCAGGCCGTGGACCCCCCCCCCTCCCCCCACCCCAACCCCCCCCCCCTGGTGGGTTGGTTTAGGGGTGGGTGTTGGGTGAGTTTTGGGTTGGCTTAGGATTGGTTTTGGGTTAGGGTTAAGGGTTAGGGTGTGTAGGATTGGTTTAGGGGTTGCGGGTTGAGTTGTCCAACGTGTCGGGATGCAAGTTGGTGCGAGTTCAGGGGCTCGAGTTCAGAGGTCTGGTGACCGTAGCGGGGTGTGAGTCCGGGGTCTCGGGCCTGGGTACCGGGGGGGGGACCCTACACCTTGGGGGGGGGGGTATGGCACGGGGGGGGGTTGGTGGCCTGGGGACTGGAACATATATACAGCCATTCAGTTGGTGGAACGCCAGGCTCGGGGGCAAGGGGTCGCCAGCTCTCGCGAAGGTTGTGGATTCCTACCGAGAAGATCTGCAAAGAACCTCTGACGAAGTCAAGCGCCCCTCGTGCGGCAAGACTGATTGTGGGGTCTAGAGGAGCCTGATGTGTTCCAGCAGCCCTTGAATGATTCTTGCGAGCTCCCAGCGCTTGCGACCTTAAGGAGAAACCAGCTTATCTCTTGTGAGAATCGTTTCATGAGTGCAGGTTGACCTTTCTGACCAGAGGCTTGTCCAGGACGCGCAATCTGACAGGCCTCTTTTTCGCGCACCTTTCTCCAGGTTCTTGAGGTGTAAGGAGTTCTCTTGCCCGAGGTATCTTCAATGCAGCAGACACGCACAGCTCCGGCATGCTAACGTTGGAGGCGGGAGTTCTGCAAGAACAGATGTGTATACTCACTCACATGCCGGCACGTCCAGCTGCCCAAGTGGATATGTTTGGTCACGCGGAATGTCGTGAGTCATGACTCTATCACGCCCGGGCAAGCCAGTACTGTATAGCATAAAACATAGCATGTCATGTACTTGGAGTGCCTGGTGCTTTGAAAACCCGCTTGCTAAAGAGCCGTTCTTTTCGAAGATAGTTGAAAGGGCACCCACACATCATGCATCCGTGGGAATCTCCAGAAATCTCCGGGTCCAATGTGGGTCTGCTTCTCATAGGCTCCCCAATCTCTTTGGCCCGCGGCGCAGGCCTTTTCCCAGTGTTTGAACCAGAATGCCTGGGTGGCCGCCTACTTTGCTGGCCTGGACATTGGCGCAGATGATGCAGGCAGGCCATGAGCTGTGTGGCTGCGAGAGCCCCTAAAGGATTGGATCCTGTAGAAAATTGATGGTGAGCTGTGGGGCTAAAACGAGCTCAGGGTAAAGATCTTGTACTTGGGGATCTTGTATTTTGTTTCAGGTTTTGGAAGGTAACATTTGCAGATCATGCGTGTTTTTTCATGAACCCGCAGCTTTAATTGAGCTTGAGATCAACCTGTGCGACACAGTCGATTTCCATCCATCCAGAACATGACATAGGTAACCATCCGGCCAAGGGAACACAGCGATGCTTTGCGGAGCTGACCGGAGATGAGCTCGGCAGGGTTGCAGTTTCGATTTGTTTTTTTGGTCAGGCACCATCTTCACGCTCATGGACACCAACAACAGTCAGCGCCTGAGTCGTGTTTCTGGAATCTCCAGTCTCCGGGCATGGAAAATACAGAAATGCGCGCGTTTGTTTCGACCACGCAGAAAAAACACCAGACGAGGTGGTGACATCACCGTGGATGAGTTTGTGCAGGGCACCATGAAGCTGAAGGGCCATGCCAAGAGCATCGACATCTTTGCGACCTGGATGCAACCTTCCGTTCGAGAAGCCAACCGTTTCTAGATGTACGACATTCATGCCGCTTTCGAAGTACTCATGCCTCCGTCTTTTTTTCCTGCCAGCCAGCCCATGTCTTGAATCTATCCAGCAAAGTACTGCTTTGCTGGGATACTCTGAGGCACGCGCATTGATGACAATTCTGGGACAGACAGGATCAACTTGATTTTTGATCTTTGAGGAAAAGGCTCCGAATCCGAAGCAAGAAGTCAGTGATTGGAGAGCCACACCACCTTTTCGGGCCACGGCAGATGGTTGGTCGGCCAAGATATGTGCTCCAGGCCTTGGTGATGTTTGGTCTAGGAATCGCCGAGCGTATGTTATTCTATGTTATTGTGTTTGCGAGTGTATCAAGTGCCGTGGTTGAGAGGATGACAGCTAAGGTAACATGATTGTTTGTTGGAGCTGTTTCCGAGACTTCATGCCATTGACAGCCTGTGCAAGCAGTTGTCACGTAGTAACGATCGCCCCTTTTCCTGGTCGCGACCACAATTTCTGGCAGAGATTCCCAAAGTAAAGATGCACAGATTGAATCGGCCGAGGCCATTATGTTCGACATCACCAGGCTGGGGCTGCAAGTTCAGAAGCTGTGCTCCTCCATGGAGGACCAGTTCCGCGACATCAAGCGCACCTTATCTATTGCTAAACTGTGCTGGCGTTACAAATACAGGATTGTGGACTGCTCTGTGTCAGCATAGGTGTCCTTTTTGGTTGATTTGGTTGAAAAACAGCGGGCCTTGATTTACTCGGTGGTTCAATCACCTTCCAGGACCATCTATTTTCCCAAAAAGGTCACCTATGGTTCTGAGACGTGCCGATTCAGGAGCGTCAACAGGATCTCGACGCCACTCTCGATGAGTTGAAGCGGCATCCAAAAACAATAAACGCCAAGCCAGGATTTTACGGAACTTTGGCAGGGCTCCTTAAAACATACATTTTGCCCATTTGAAACATGGCTTTTTCCACCAAAATACAGGGAAACCACCATGTTCAGGTGTATAATGTAAGGATCCCTGTTTAGCTCACATAAATTCACTCACTGTGCTACGCCCTTCAGCCAAACCGATGCCCAGTGGGCCAGTGCACCATCGTTGTGTGGTGGGGTGAGACATTTGACATGTTCTTTGGACATACAATTCTTTTGCCTGGGGGAGAAGTTCTGTTGCAATGGGTCGCAAAGCATCAAGCCATGATTCGATTGAAAGACGTGTGTCAAAGGCGTGGGGATGTGCACATGGGAGTGTTGTGGCTGAGAGTGAGAAAGCGGAGTGAGAGACTGGATCTTGCTCTGAGAGCTAAGACACAATCTGGTTGTGTCTTTCTTTGGGCACCCCCCCAAAAAAAGAGAGTGCGTTTTCGTCCTTTTCCGTTCACATTCCCCCGCACAAAGAGTATCGAGCCCTTTTTTTCCCGTTACTGTCAAAAAACGAGCAAGGGGTTGAGCGACGAGGATTTTTGCCGAGGTATTCTGGAGCCTGGCAGGGCGCTGCCCAAGAAGCGGCTGTGGCCCGGCCTCACTGGGTGTGTGTGTGTGTGTGTGTTTGTGTTTTTGTTTTTTCCTTTCTGATTGGCTCGGTGGTTCTTCTTGTTGGTGGTTTTGATGGAAACCAAAGGAACATCGACGCCATGTGGGGCTAAAAAAGAAGACACCCGTTTCCAGGCGTTGATGCTACTGTGGATGGACGAACTCCATTTGGCACCACCTCAGAAACCCTGGTTTCTGATTCGATTCCCCAACGTAGATACCCACAAACGCTGGAAACTCCACCATGACTCAATTCATTTCGTGGCACTTCATTTCGTGGCACATTACTACCGGGCGCGGTTTTTCTTCTGTAAGTTGCCGCTTCCAAAGCAAACCTCCTCGTGCAGCATTGCAAGGTTCAAGCCAGTGAAGCAGCTGATGCAGGAGTTGGATCAGCCTGATTCAGATGACCCCACCAGGCAGGGAGACCTGAAAGGTGGCCCATGTTTGTTTTTCTATCCAGAGAGATGAGTGGGTTTTTCTTGGCAAGCTCGGCCATCCGGTTCAACTTAGCTTTTTGAAACTTTGGTTTGTATTTAGTTTGCCATGCGTCGAGATGTTGTGACGCTGGAATGTTTTATGATTCAGAACAGCCTGCCGTATGCGCATGTCGCCTCGCAATGAGCCAGGAATCAAGCAAGTCAGAAAGTCATGCCTGTGACACGGCTTTCCCTCTGAGCTTGTGTGTTGAATGTTGATAGGCAAAAGATAGAGTGTAATTCTCAGTGATGTGGAGATTATCTTTTGAGTCTTTTCAGTGTCCCTGGATGTAGGGACACGCGCGCGGGACGTGGACGGGACGGCACGTGCGGGACGTCGGGGATGGGATGCGCAGGACGTGCTGGGGCGGGCGGGGGGTTGTGCGGCGTGGTAGATGTGCGGGCGGGACGTGCGGGACGTGTGGGACTGCGCCCCCGTGACAGTATGCTAGAACAACAGTAGATCGCTGCGAACAACAGTAGTTTTAGCGTGTCACCCCGTGTCGCCCCGTGTCACCTGTGTGTCACCCCGTGTCGCCCCCGTGTCGCCCCGTGTCACCTGCGTGTCACCCAGCGTCACCCCGTGTTGCCTGCGTGTCACCCCGTGTTGCCTGCGTGTCACCCCGTGTCGCCTGCGTGTCACCCCGTGTCGCCTGCGTGTCACCCCGTGGCACCGTGTCACCCCGTGGGCTTGTCTTTTACTTTTTTGGACAACGTGAAACGACCGTAGATAGGGGATCTACTGTCTTTTATTTTATTTTCGGAAGAGTACTGCCAAATACCCTGTAGTTCCGAAAATGAAATTTAGACGGTAGTCGGAGGGTGCTGGAAGGGACGGGTTTCTTTTGTGACGGGTGCATTTTGTTGTGGAATTCCAGATGTGCCAACTCTAATACGTATTGCGTTTATTCTCGTTCTTCTATTGCCAAAAGGAACGGGTGCGAGTTTGGTACTTCCAGATTTTTCTCTGTTTTGAATTGTCTTAATCAGTCCAACAGTGTTGGGCGCTTTTCAGGGACTTCAAGAATGATGCCGACTGGGGGACTTCAAGGTTTAGTTCAGTTCTATTTATGTTATCGAATGCAAAATCGACGGGTGCCTTTTGGCGTATTCCCTAAAAGGGTTGGGTGAAAAGCGCAGATTCAGTAGGCGCTAACTGTTCTACGTTTGATAGTTGTATTATTCATTCTACTTGTCTCAAAGAGACGGGCACGATTTGGGGAATTCGAGATGTAGCTCCGCTCTGAATACTCATTTGTTCCAAACGGGACTGAATTGTGCAAATGATCATGATGATTCTATTTGTTTTCATAACTACTCTATTAATTATATATAAAGGGGCGCCTTTTGGGGAATTTACTCTAATGCTTCTATCATTCCGATTCGATTTTTCAAGCTCTTCCCTTTTTGGGACTGGTGCTTTTTGCTGAACTCCAGATTCATGCTTGCTCTTGTTGTACTTGTTCAATGTATTCTTTTCTTCCTTGCTCCCAAAGGGACGGGTGCAGTTTAGCAAACAAACACACATTGTTCCAAGAAGGGCGGGGGCGAACGCAATCTGGGGGAACTGCGTTGTTTGAGTTGTTCTAGCTATGAGAATTATTATATTATCTCCCTAAGGGACGGGCGCCCTATTCGAAGTTCATCATTTTCTCCATAGGTTCTAGCATTCTGCTTATTCCTAAAGGGGCGGGTGCCTTTTAGGGCGGATTCTGATGTTTCTATTTGCTTTTTTGGGCTTATATTCTACTTCGCCAAGCTATTCCAACTAGTTGCGAAAGGGTACATACAATGACTAGAAGACTTGGAACCATGTCACCTTTATTCTCATTATTCAGGTAATTCCCAAAAGGGGCAGGTCTCTTTTGTGGGAATCAATATTTATTTCCTGCGAATTATTCTACGTATTGTGACTATTCAAAGCACGCGTGACTTTTCGGGAGTTTCACTCTTATGCTTTTTTTGTTTAGCTAGTCCAACGCTTCTAATGATTCCAATTGTTCTACTTGGCTATTCCAACAATCATGGGTGCCGTTGATGAGTTCCAGGTTCAGTGTTGCTTATTGGTTCTTTTGGTTCTATATAGTCCAATCACTCTCCTTAGTACTCCAGTCCAGGGACGGGCGCCTTTTGGGGAAGTTCAGATTCATATTGCTCTAATAAGTCGAGTTGTTCTACCTATTCTATCGATTCTTCTTATTCCACAATATTTTCAGGGTTTGCAGAAGGGTAGTCCGTGCGCAGACACGCGGTGTTCCGAGTGTGCAGACACATGTGTGTTCTGAGCGCTGCCGTCGATGTATGTTGTGTAAGGAACACGTGAGTGTTCCGCGCGTACATATTTCGATTCTTACACATATGCTCCAAGCGCGCATACAGACACGCACACGTGTGTGTGTGTGTGTGTGTGTCCTGCACGCACACGTGTGTTCCGAGAGGAAGCAAACAGGAAGAGCGCAAGCCATGGCCTTGTGTTGCCTCTGGAAGGCCCAAAGATGCGCAGAGCGCTCAGCGCTCTTGCGATACTTTTATCCTGCACAATGGTTTGCTTTTTGTTTTGCAGTTGTTTGGCTGGAAGCTTAGATGCGATACTCTGTGGCCAGTATGTCACTTCCGCTTTTCCTCGAAGTTTCGCTCAGCTTGGAATCATGAGAAGTCATCCCGGTAAGTACCAGCATTGGGACACTTGAATTGCCTCCAGCCATGTGCGTGAAAGTTCCAGAGGTTTGGTCAAGTTTTGTTTCTCCTGGGATCAGACCAACACCTCAGGGTTTTTGGTTTGCGGGCAGAAAGAGACGACTAAAATATGTGTCATCTTTTTTGGTCGCGCACACAAATGTGTCATCTTTACTTGGCACACGAGCTCCTCCTAGCGGCCGTTCAAAAAAAACAAGTGTCATCTTGGGCAGAGATTTGATAGGTGGGCAAGGAGTTCTCTTTGCGCTTTGGCTCATGGCACGGTTTTTGCCCGAGGTCAACGCGGTTGAGGCTTCTCAAGCGGCTGTCGCAAGCCCGAGTGGCATGAGCATTGGCAGCGACTGGTGAGCTCGTTTTTCCGCGTGCCGGGAGAAGGTGTTCATGTTGCCTGGGTCACTCCAGATACATGGGTATGGGTCAAAATGATATAAACCAGGGGAGCGCAAGTTTTAGTTCTTGTTTCCATTTACCGGGGTTCCATTCTGGCGAGCGATTTTGACCCACACCCATATGAGTCACATTGCGATTGACATTGGGGAATGTTTGCTCGCGTTGAAGTCTGGCTTGGTTAGATGGCATATGTTTGCTTGTGGCTCTTAAGGCATGCCCAGGGCAAGATGCCCACATTGGAGCCAGGGTTGTCCGCCATGAACCGTCCGAGATCGAGCTTGCAAATCAACATTGCAATAGGATAGTTGTCAAACTGCACAACCGTTCCATGCTTGGGCCGAATATGCCATTTGCCTTCTTTTGACAAGCTCGGTAAGGACAACTCTTGCTTGGAGCTGTGCTTTTTGTTCGGCAGCAATTCCAGGCTTTGAAGTTGTGACTTGGCCTACAGTTTACAGAAACAGGTACAATAAGCACTCAAAGAACTTGGTTCAGCCAGAATAAGCAATTCTCCGGATGTTTTGCGTGTTTATGCCACATTCATTCTCAGTCCTCCCCTGTTTCAAGGCCCGGCCTCGTTTCACTTTTGGCGCAAAGCGCCAGATTCAGATTGGCATGCGAAACATGTGGGCCCAGCGCGCGTTTTTTGCGGGTCGCCATCGTCAGGCTCTTTTGGCAGCAGAACACCTGCTGGTTTACCCTGTTTGTTTGGCAGATTCTTTCAGGGGCTCTCAAAGGGTGTAATGCCCGGCATTCGGCAATCTGCCCTGGACAGACTTTCGGTCAAACCGTGCTTCTGTGTTTTGCTAGTCGGTTGACCAGGACCGCGCGAACGTCAGGTTCCGTGTTAGTCGGTAGGAGGGTAATATGGCTGAGGCTCAAAAAAGTGGTACCCATTGTCTGGCCCCTTGAATAGAAACAAAGACCGAACCCTGCGTAACCCCAGCTCTTTAATTTTGAGCCACACCCATGTAACCATTCTTTTACAGTTGGGATTGAATTTTTGGGATTATTTTCCCCATGGTCATCACATATGCTTTTTGGTACAACTTCACTGTGTTGCTTGATGTCCAGAGTTCAACACATTTAAGAGGGCTTCTCAAGAACTAATTGTTGGCCGGAAAAAGCAAGAAAAAAAACCCAAAAAAAAACAAAAAATCCAAGGAGAAAAACAAATCCAAAAATTCGAGAGGCCCACACAACAACCCCCCAGGCAGCCCATTGCTGCTTCCAGCGCCGGCGCCTGCCGGGCTCTCGCTTCAGGTCTGCCACTTCCGTCTAACTAGCCGCCAATGTGCATCTGGGCCTGTCCTTTTTTGAATCTAAAGGAAAACCCACCATATATTTTTTTGGGGGGGGTCAAAATTAGGGGTCCCCCAAAATTTAGAGCACTCCCCAAAATTTGGGGGACCCCCCCAAAATGGTGGGTGTTCCTTCAGATGGCAATAGCCGCGCCACGCGCGGCTGCCTTTGCGCTATGCGGTTTTGTTTGTTTGTTTGTGTGTGTGTGTGTGAGTGCCTGCATGTGTTTGTGTGCGCGCATGCTTGTGCTTTGTTTGATCTGTTGGGTTTTTGTGTGTGGTGCGCCGCAATTGCCACAAGCCAAAGTCCAACGTCTAGATAGGAGCCACTGATCATTGACCACTAGCTGCCACACCATTGTAGACTCGGACAGGGCAGACTTACTTCCATCGAGGCGAGCCCGGGGGGCAGCATGAAGAGCTTTGTGCTGGAAGATGCTGAGGACAGCACTGGCCTTTGCTAACTTTGGTTGAGTCCACCAAGGGCTCACTTGGCAAGCGTATGAAGTGTCTCGCGCGACCTCCGCCCTGGTCAAGGCTCACTGTTTGCAAGCTTGTGCCACGTGACTAGCATCCTGCTTTAAGATAGTTCAGCTCTCGTGCTTTTTGTGTCACTCAGATATCCTGAGCTGTTGCTACACGTGTCCAAGAGTGAGCTTCATGGAAATTGACGGCGAGAACCGTCTGCAACACATGGAAGCATAGCACTAGAACTACCCGCTGACGCATGCTGCACGCCCGTGGAATCGCAAGCCTAAAGAGTTCAACCAACACCTTGCTCAGCTGAACCCGTTGAATCTACGATGTCGCAAGGAAAGGCAGGCCAAAACCGGTGTTGCCTGACGCCACCTGCAACATCACCAGCCCCCTGTTTTGTTTACTTGAAGGTGTGGCTGTCCTTTGGAGTCGCCCTTGAGTAGTCACTCCACCGTCTAACATTTCAGTGCCCCAGAACTAGTGGACCTGTGATCTGCCATGCATGAGCGAGCTGCATTCCGGGCGGCCCCCTGGCGAAAGCGGACGAACTCGCGAAAAGTCTTTGGTGTTGACGGTGAGCCGGCAATCTGACGTATTGAACATGCTTCAGAGCAGTACTGTGGTTGGACGAAATCCATTTCGCACCACCTGAGAAACCCTGGAAGGATGGTTCCCCTGTAAATACCAACCAACAATGGTTTCTCATGGTTTCAAAGTGGTGCAGGATTTCGTCCATCCACAGTAGATGTCAAACCACTATTGAACAACTAGTGGAATGCTGTTCGAATGCAGCTTGACCTGCTGCATTCGGAAGGATCAAACCTCTACTGTACCAGTTAGGAATGGAATTCTAGGGTAAGGAACAAATACATTCTCAGCACCTCTGTTTTGTTTCTCGGATTCTTGTGCATTGAGGTCTACTTGGCCTCGCCGCTGAAGTTCTGCACGACGCTTCATGCCTTCGCTCCAGTGCTGTGGCTGCAGAGTGCCTTTTGTCACGTTCAGAGGGATTTCTAACATCTCCTCCCCAAGAATGGCCCAAACATGCGGGGAGAGGCTGAAGTGCCACGGCGGGTGAAAAACTGGAAGCGCCCGCCTTGAGCTCGCAAGGAATGGAAAAACAGGTTTTGTCTCCGGAAGCGGAGGTATTGCCTCGCTACTTCATCAACGCCTGGGAGAAGGATCCTTGGAAGTGGCAGCACCACAAGTACCGCCGCTCCAGAGAGCGCAACCGCGGCAAGTGGCACCTTGGCTCACGCTCGGTGCCCCTTCGCTCGTGTGCGATGCCTGTCTTTCGCCTTACTGGTTAGTCACACCTTACAGGAGGGGAAGGTGTGCGCGTTGCACAGAAATGGGTATATATATATATATATCTTTTAGGGGAACCTTTGGGGTTTCCTTTTCGGAAACCAAAACAAAATCCATTTCGGGGGTTCAACAATTCCTAATTCCCACGCGCAAATAAAGCTATGGACTTTTACCTCAGGCCCCGTTCTTTTTGCTTGTCTTCCTATTTTTGTTCAGCGACTTTCCCTCTGAGTGAAGCCCATAAAATCACGGAAAGCGCGAATTTGTACCCATGTTTAGAGCCACTATTCCTCATGAACCCCCCCATCAGATCACCCACAACGCGAAGCTTGTGACCATCCCGTGCCGAACGAGCCGCGAGGTTCTACGGCTCGGGCCCTTTGGGCGGGGTGCAGCTGCCGGGGTGGCCGGAGCCGGGGCTTTTGGGCGCCCGCGGCCTGGTGGAGGTCGCGCAGAAGGGCCAGGTGGAGCGCCTCGAGGACGGGGAGGGATGCGCTGGAATGCGCACGGGACGAGGCTTCGGCGCATCGCCCGATTTTGAGTGGGCAGGGATCCTTACATTATACTCCTGAACATTACCTTGCAAATGGTGGTGTCCCTTTATTTTGGTGGAAAAAGACATGTTTCAAATGGGCAAGTGTATCTTTTAAGGAGCCCTGTGGGAAGCCCTGGACGTTTTTTCCCGTGGGGTTCAAGAACAAAAACAAGATTTTGGGGAGAGAACCCCGTGGTTATTTCCGTGGGTTTCAGGGGAGAAACTGTGGTTTTGCTTCGTGAGTTTCGGAAGGGGAAACCAAGATGCGAACCGTGGGGTTTAAGGGGAAACCAAAAGGACAAGTTCCAGCAGGTAGTGCACAAAAAGATACAGAACCATGCTACTGTATGAATGTCAAGAGTTGGAACCTCAAAAGTGGTTGGTGGTTTTTTTCCACACCAAGCCCAAAAGGGTCCCGATCCCCATGAAGATTCACACCTGGGCAAAGGTGAGGTCACCATCTTGGGTGGAGACTTATAAAAACTCCGCTGTACATGTCAAGGGGTTTTCTGAATTAGATGCGATCTTCCCAGAATTAGCTCCCCTTTTTATTCATTTGTTGTTTCTTTTTTTGGGGTTCCTTTGTTTTCCACTCACCAGGCAAAAAGGGTTTTGTTTATTTTGCTGGGGTCCCCTTCTTCCAGCCTAGCGATGTCAAAGTTCGGTGGCTTTTCTCGTGTGTCTCAACAGACGGTGTCTGCAAAGCTTCGTTTGCGTGGCTCGTCTCTTTGGGAGACCCCCCCTACCCAAAAAAAGTATAGGGTGGTTTTCAACTTTTGGTTTCCCTTGGAAGCCACCAAAATAGCGGTACCCTCAAACTTGACGCACCCATGTCAGAATCATGGCACAGACGTGCTTGCACATTTGTTTCATCGTGTTGAGTTGGCACCGTGCACATGCCTTCGGTTGGCGATCCCGTTTCTGAAGTCCTTGTCCTGAGCAGGTGCGGCAGTTCAATGAACATGTGGGCCTAGTGAAGGGGCGATGCTGCAGGCCTTTATGACAACGAGGCTTATCTCCGTTGATTACCAACAAGACAGACCTTAATTGAGATTTTCGTTTGCCAGTTGCGTCCTGTCCCAACTGGACAGGACCAGACATTCTGGCATCAGGCGTGGCATGGATCGTGTTGCTTCGTGGATTTTGTTCGTCACGCTGGGCCACACCCTGTGGAATTTAGTTTTGACCCCATATTAATCAACCAACCTGTTGATTATTGGGCGGGGGGCCGTCCAAAATGGTCTGATTGCCCACTAAACCCGCAGACACTCCCCTATTAAACTGGGGTTGATTATTGTGGGGTCAAAATGAGGATATCTCGACAACAGACAGCATGCCCAGGTTGCTTGACTATTGACAACATGATCTGAAACAGAAGCATTTACCAGCAACATGTTGGGTTGCCGGGGGGAGGGGAGTTTGCCCGGACCAAATGATGGTCGCTCTTGGACGTGGGTTGGGAATTGTGCAAATCCTACGCAAATAGCAGTAAATCGTGGCTTCGGATCATAGGAAAGTCTGCAAATGTCCTGCGCGGTGCTGGCAGGCGCAGCATTTTCATTTGCCCGAAGCAGGCTCCAGGACTGTGGCTTGACTCTTCCTAAGAGAGGCCTAAAGTGGCAGCAAGTCGAATAAAAGGGGCTGCGCAGTCGCGTAGAGCGCGCAGATAGCAGAGAAGTCACACGGCGTGAGGGCCGGGGGCTCGGGATCGACCAGTTTGAAGCACGGGTTGGCCCCGGCACGCCTTGTCGGGCTCCCTCCTCCCCCCCTCGAGCGGCGAACACGCTGAGGATCGGCGCGCACGGGGCAGCATGAAAGTTTGGGCGAACCCCCCCCCGGTCAACCCAACATGTTGGATGCGTGAACCACTGCAGAACAAAACACGTGAATATCGACCATAACTTCAAGCTAGCCCTGGTTTGATTTGCTCAGCTTCAGTGGCTTAGCGTAGCTTCTGCTTGCAGCACAACGAGCAATTTGGAGGTCGGTGAAGTTCAAATATAGCAACACTGACAATTGCGGCACCACAATCGCAAGGAGAGAGCCTGAGTTTCCTGCTGCGAAGGGCTGTCGCAATGCTCCACAAGCGCCTCACCTTGTCATGTCACCCACGACACAAAGATCCCGCGCCTTGAGCAGGTAGCAGAACGAGCTGTTACTCTACGTGATGTCATGGCAGTAGGCCATGGGGGGCTGGGAGAACAAGCGTTGAAAGGATGCCCCTCATTCCTCATTCCTGCTAAGCAGAACCCGGCCGAAAGCTCCTTGGACATATGTGGGGCTGACTCGAGGGCGAGTCAGATCATGCGATGCCTCAAGGGGCAGGGGTGAATTTCCTGCCGGTGGGATCCCCTGCCTGACTGTTCTGGTGCTTCGATTTGAGGTGTTTACCTCGGCCGGCCGAAGAATATGATGAACATAGATGACGAGGAAACCATGTCACACGTAAGGAGCAACGAAATCCTATTCAAAAACTCAATTTCAATCCATTCTGGCAATTCTGGCCTAGAAGCGTTTTGCTTTTCAGTTTCCTGCTCCAACATGAACAGCTTTAAGCTCTTTCCTCAATTTCTCGCTCGGGAGCTTTTCCTTCTAAAAATGCCCTAATCGAAATGATGAGTTTCAAGGTTTGGCTTCAAACTCTGGCTCTTCTTTGGCCGTTTCTAAGTGTTGGTTCCACTGGGTATATACCAACAAGATTCACGTTTGCAAACTGAGAGGTTGCAGCAGCATTTCGGATACATGTTGTTGTGCAACATTATACTATATACAACTTGGAAGCTTGATGAGAGTCTGGAAACGGGGTTGATGCTGCTGTTATTGTGATTCGGAAGCCAATCATGTCGTGAGATTCCTTCCCAGTACAACGATGCCGCTCTTAGTGCATGTATCATGTATCAGTTTTCATTTGCAGGCCACCTTTTTGTGACAAACCGGCAGTGGGCTGCAATGTGTTGGCTTGTTCTGTGTGAGGGTCAGCGGGCCTCGGCTGATCAAGCCAGTTGCGGGAGGTTGAAGGCTTTCGGGCATTGCAGGTGATTTGGCTGTGATTCTGGACACCTTGCTGACGGCAAACCATCGCCACACGCATCTCATGAAGACGCTGTCTCGCGTCTCTCGTCATGAGGGCAAGTGTCATGGCGCTTTGTCGTGCATGGTCATTGTTTATGCGTGCGCTGACTCACCAAGCATGTGGAAGCCCCCACGTTGCAAGATGTAAGCCTGTTGTTAGCTTGAACCTTTTCAGCAGCTTGTGCTTGTAGTCGTATAGGGTTGTTTGCTTTGGATGACGTCGCTGTTGCGCGCAGGTTGCGTTGCCAGCTCCCCTATGGCCGCTACTATAGCTCATTGCTATGGTTGCTACCAAAACCATAGACCTGGAAAGCAGTTCCTCAATAACATAGCACCCGCGACAGGAGCCAGCAAGCCAACAGCACAGCTCGCTGACGCAAAACCGGGCAAGCTGGTGCAAGAAGCTCATTCGCGCAAGTATGTAGGGTTGCGATAATCAGGGGTCTAGATTGAAGAGCCCGGTGACGACAAGTATGTTTGTTGAAGTTTCCACCACCCTGAAAGCGGCTACCCGGCCGCAACGCTTGGACACCAAAATGGTGACGCCTAATTACAATCCGGCTAGCGGTTCAAAGGGATCGACCCGAACCCTAAAACCCCGTCTAGTGCCAAACATCTTCTTTACATCATGTGTTGTTGTGGGCAGCATTTTCGCTTTCACCCATTTCCCCCTGGCTGCTAAATTGCCTGACACCTGAAATCTGGCTGACGTTGAATATGGGGCTCAACATGGAGAAGCAATCCCTCAAGCCGTTATCCTTTCCCAAAATCCCCAAACCCCGAATACCTTTTTTCGAGTTTCTTGTTAATTTGTGTCAGCATGTTCGTTCTCTCTCGGTTCTTGTCATGGAGTTGTCCTTTTCAACACCCGGAAGGCAGCCTTTTGATTGGCATGCGATTTCAGCCACCTCCAAAAAGGACGAGATGCGATTAAACTCTCGTTTCTCGAGACATGCAGATTTCTCAAGATAGCTTGCTGTTGCACCACCCAAGCAACCATGGGAAACCATTGTTTGTTGGTAGTTGCAAGGGAATCATCATTCCAGGGTTTCTTAGGTGGTGCAGGATTTCGTCCATCCACAGTATGGATCAAGATGGATCAAGTGAAAAGGGAAGTCAACGTGAACAGTGGATGCAAGACGTGCGACATGTCGAGGACTAATGTTGACCCAGATTAATGAACCCCTGTTTAGTAATATGGGGGTGCTTTCCCCCGGTTTTAGTGGGGAGTTATCACTTTTGGAGAGGCCTGGGGCCACTTTTGGAGGGGCCCCCACCCCCATATGAATAACCAGGTTGGTTTAACTTCATCCGGGGTCAACATGAACTCAATAATTTTGACCCAGGATTAATAAACCTGTCCCATTATTTGGGGGGTGTTCCCTCCAAAAGTGGTCTGAATCCAGACACCCACACCGGGACCCCAATCAAAAGTCAGCCAGGGGTGTAACTTTGATCCGGGGAGATGACTCATGAGCTGTGAGCGCAGCTCCCGGCGGCCCAGGAGCTCATTGACGATGTGGATAAGCTGTCGCTGGTGGAGGCCGCAGTGATCCTCAACGCCTATGCCCACTTCAACTGCGCTGAGCTGAGGATACCCAAAAGCCGGCCTATGGTCATCAGCATGCGGGTTGATAGGGCCAGATTGGCCAAAGAGCTTAGTCAAGGAAGCCAACTAGCAGGGATAGAGGGGAACCGAGGATACGGGAGGATTCCCCCGTTTGATGCACCTTGACTAAGTTTGATACGGGAAATGGCGCCAAGGGAATCCCCCCGTATCCCCGCTCCCTCCGTATCCCCGCTTGTTCGTTTGTCCCACTTAGCCCGAACATGTTGAGTCCGGCGGCGAGACATGAAGCGATGCAAAGCCGTCGTTCGGTTGACGGGCTCCTCTAGGGCCAGATTGGCCAACGCGCTTTGACCACTCCCATCCTGGCAGCTTCTTGCCACATAGGCGAAAGCCGCCTGATGCTGAAGTCCTTTGCAGAGCATATCGCGCGGCTTCTGCAGGACCGGGGGGTTGGTAAAATAGTTCACAGATTCACAACATGGTGACAATGACCGTCTAACCTACCCCACCTACCCCACCTGCCCCACCTACCCCACCTACCCCACCTACCAACCTACTACCCCGCCTACCCCACCTACCAACCTACCAACCTACTAAGCACATACCCACCTACCCACCCACCCCCACGTACTTCAGGAGCGACCGTACACCACGGTGGATGCTGATGAGAGGCAAGGGCAATTGTCGCACTTGCTGAACCACCGGCCAATCATTTGGGAAGAACTTGGGTTGTGCCGAAATGTTGTTGTGTGCCTTCTAAATTGATCGTGGCTGAAAGATGGCTGAATGATGAGCAGTAGATATCCAACACCCTTTTTCTGATCAGTCTTGAAGAAATCTGGACTGCATCCCTCATCGCTCTGACGCATGGAAGAACGAGCTACCGGTCATGGCCAAAGGTCCCGCTTTGTGGAAGATGGGTCCGGTGATGATGTCACAAAACTAATTAGATGTCAGAGGGATGCGGCTACATCCTGAGTGTGAAGACAAACCATGCGCGTCGACTGAGAACTTGAGCGGTGCTGTTTGGACATGTTTAGACTGGCTCTGACTGATTGGAAGTGTTACGGCTGGGCGTGATTCATTGGGAGTGTGTTGGGAAAGTCGAGAGGGGCCGGTAAACTAGCTTGAGCTTGAATCTTGCCCATTTGCAGGGGCCAATCATTTGGGAAGAACTTGGGTTGTGCCGACATGTCGTTGTGTGCATTCTAGATTGATCGTGGCTGAAAGATGGCTGAATGATGAGCAGTAGATATCCAACACCCTTTTTCTGATCAGTCTTGAAGAGATCTGGACTGCATCCCTCATCGCTCTGACGCATGGAAGAACGAGCTACTGGACATGGCCAAGGGTCCTGCTTTGCGGAAGATGGGTCCGGTGATGATGTCACAAAACTAATTAGATGTCAGAGGGATGCGGCTACATCCTGAGTGTGAAGACAAACCATGCGCGTCGACTGAGGACTTGATCGGTGCTGTTTGGACATGTTTAGACTGGCTCTGACTGATTGGAAGTGTTACGGCTGGGCGTGATTCATTGGGAGTGTTTGGGAAAGTCGAGAACAACTTTGGACTGGGGAGTGAAAACTGAGTTACCACGGCCAAAAGGAAAAGGGGCCGGTAAACTAGCTTGAGCTTGAATCTTGCCCATTTGCAGGGGCCAATCATTTGGGAAGAACTTGGGTTGTGCCGACATGTCGTTGTGTGCATTCTAGATTGATCGTGGCTGAAAGATGGCTGAATGATGAGCAGTAGATATCCAACACCCTTTTTGTGATCAGTCTTGAAGAGATCTGGACTGCATCCCTCATCGCTCTGACGCATGGAAGAACGAGCTACCGGACATGGCCAAAGGTCCTGCTTTGCGGAAGATGGGTCCGGTGATGATGTCACAAAACTAATTAGATGTCAGAGGGATGCGGCTACATCCTGAGTGTGAAGACAAACCATGCGCGTCGACTGAGGACTTGAGCGGTACTGTTTGGACATGTTTGGACAGTCTGGGACTGGTTGGGATTTGTACGACTGCTTAGGACTTGCAGGTTTGATCGGGAGCATTTGGGACGGGGTTTGAAAGTGTTTGGGGTAGCGTAGTACTGACGTGGACTGTTTGGGGCTGAGTTGAGACGGACAAGACGGGGCGGCAAACTCGCTTGAGCTTGATGATTGCTCGCCACAGGCGTCTGCCAGCATTTGGGAACAACGTGCGGGAATGTTCTTGTGTTTTTGCGTGCTAGATTGATCGCTGCAGTGGCTGAAGGAGCGCTGAATGATGAGCAGTAGATATCCAACACCCTTTTTCTGATCAGTCTTGAAGAGATCTGGACTGCATCCCTCATTGCTCTGACACATGTGACACATGGAAGCACGAGCTAGCGGACATGGCCAAAGGTCCTGCTTTGCGGAAGATGGGCCCGGTGATGATGTCACAAAACTAATTAGATGTCAGAGGGATGCGGCTACATCCTGAGTGTGAAGACAAACCATGCGCGTCGACTGAGGACTTGATCGGTGCTGTTTGGACATGTTTAGACTGGCTCTGACTGATTGGAAGTGTTGCGGCTGGGCGTGATTCATTTGGAGTGTTTGGGAAAGTCGAGAACAGCTTTGGACTGGGGACTGAAAACTGAGTTACCACGGCCAAAAGGAAAAGGGGCCGGTAAACTAGCTTGAGCTTGAATCTTGCCCATTTGCAGGGGCCAATCATTTGGGAAGAACTTGGGTTGTGCCGACATGTCGTTGTGTGCATTCTAGATTGATCGTGGCTGAAAGATGGCTGAATGATGAGCAGTAGATATCCAACACCCTTTTTCTGATCAGTCTTGAAGAGATCTGGACTGCATCCCTCATCGCTCTGACGCATGGAAGAGCGAGCTACCGGACATGGCCAAAGGTCCTGCTTTGCGGAAGATGGGTCCGGTGATGATGTTACAAAACTAATTAGATGTCAGAGGGATGCGGCTACATCCTGAGTGTGAAGACAAACCATGCGCGTCGACTGAGGACTTGAGAGGTACTGTTTGGACATGTTTGGACAGTCTGGGACTGGTTGGGATTTGTACGACTGCTTAGGACTTGCAGGTTTGATCGGGAGCATTTGGGACGGGGTTTGAAAGTGTTTGGGGTAGCGTAGTACTGACGTGGACTGTTTGGGGCTGAGTTGAGACGGACAAGACGGGGCGGCAAAGTCGCTTGAGCTTGATGATTGCTCGCCACAGGCGTCTGCCAGCATTTGGGAACAACGTACGGGAATGTTGTTGTGTTTTTGCGTGCTAGATTGATCGCTGCAGTGGCTGAAGGAGCGCTGAATGATGAGCAGTAGATATCCAACACCCTTTTTCTGATCAGTCTTGAAGAGATCTGGACTGCATCCCTCATCGCTCTGACGCATGGAAGAACGAGCTACCGGACATGGCCAAAGGTCCTGCTTTGCGGAAGATGGGTCCGGTGATGATGTCACAAAACTAATTAGATGTCAGAGGGATGCGGCTACATCCTGAGTGTGAAGACAATCCATGCGCGTCGACTGAGGACTTGATCGGTGCTGTTTGGACATGTTTAGGCTGGCTCTGACTGATTGGAAGTGTTGCGGCTGGGCGTGATTCATTTGGAGTGTTTGGGAAAGTCGAGAACAGCTTTGGACTGGGGACTGAAAACTGAGTTACCACGGCCAAAAGGAAAAGGGGCCGGTAAACTAGCTTGAGCTTGAATCTTGCCCATTTGCAGGGGCCAATCATTTGGGAAGAACTTGGGTTGTGCCGACATGTCGTTGTGTGCATTCTAGATTGATCGTGGCTGAAAGATGGCTGAATGATGAGCAGTAGATATCCAACACCCTTTTTCTGATCAGTCTTGAAGAGATCTGGACTGCATCCCTCATCGCTCTGACGCATGGAAGAACGAGCTACCGGACATGGCCAAAGGTCCTGCTTTGCGGAAGATGGGTCCGGTGATGATGTTACAAAACTAATTAGATGTCAGAGGGATGCGGCTACATCCTGAGTGTGAAGACAAACCATGCGCGTCGACTGAGGACTTGAGCGGTACTGTTTGGACATGTTTGGACAGTCTGGGACTGGTTGGGATTTGTACGACTGCTTAGGACTTGCAGGTTTGATCGGGAGCATTTGGGACGGGGTTTGAAAGTGTTTGGGGTAGCGTAGTACTGACGTGGACTGTTTGGGGCTGAGTTGAGACGCCCAAGACGGGGCGGCAAAGTCGCTTGAGCTTGATGATTGCTCGCCACAGGCGTCTGCCAGCATTTGGGAACAACGTACGGGAATGTTGTTGTGTTTTTGCGTGCTAGATTGATCGCTGCAGTGGCTGAAGGAGCGCTGAATGATGAGCAGTAGATATCCCACACCCTTTTTCTGATCAGTCTTGAAGAGATCTGGACTGCATCCCTCATCGCTCTGACGCATGGAAGAACGAGCTACTGGACATGGCCAAGGGTCCTGCTTTGCGGAAGATGGGTCCGGTGATGATGTCACAAAACTAATTAGATGTCAGAGGGATGCGGCTACATCCTGAGTGTGAAGACAAACCATGCGCGTCGACTGAGGACTTGAGCGGTACTGTTTGGACATGTTTAGACTGGCTCTGACTGATTGGAAGTGTTATGGCTGGGCGTGATTCATTGGGAGTGTTTGGGAAAGTCGAGAACAACTTTGCACTGGGGACTGAAAACTGAGTTACCACGGCCAATCTTGCCCATTTGCAGGGGCCAATCATTTGGGAAGAACTTGGGTTGTGCCGACATGTCGTTGTGTGCATTCTAAATTGATCGTGGCTGAAAGATGGCTGAATGATGAGCAGTAGATATCCAACACCCTTTTTCTGATCAGTCTTGAAGAAATCTGGACTGCATCCCTCATCGCTCTGACGCATGGAAGAACGAGCTACCGGTCATGGCCAAAGGTCCCGCTTTGTGGAAGATGGGTCCGGTGATGATGTCACAAAACTAATTAGATGTCAGAGGGATGCGGCTACATCCTGAGTGTGAAGACAAACCATGCGCGTCGACTGAGGACTTGAGCGGTGCTGTTTGGACATGTTTAGACTGGCTCTGACTGATTGGAAGTGTTACGGCTGGGCGTGATTCATTGGGAGTGTTTGGGAAAGTCGAGAACAACTTTGGACTGGGGAGTGAAAACTGAGTTACCACGGCCAAAAGGAAAAGGGGCCGGTAAACTAGCTTGAGCTTGAATCTTGCCCATTTGCAGGGGCCAATCATTTGGGAAGAACTTGGGTTGTGCCGACATGTCGTTGTGTGCATTCTAGATTGATCGTGGCTGAAAGATGGCTGAATGATGAGCAGTAGATATCCAACACCCTTTTTCTGATCAGTCTTGAAGAGATCTGGACTGCATCCCTCATCGCTCTGACGCATGGAAGAACGAGCTACCGGACATGGCCAAAGGTCCTGCTTTGCGGAAGATGGGTCCGGTGATGATGTCACAAAACTAATTAGATGTCAGAGGGATGCGGCTACATCCTGAGTGTGAAGACAAACCATGCGCGTCGACTGAGGACTTGATCGGTGCTGTTTGGACATGTTTAGACTGGCTCTGACTGATTGGAAGTGTTACGGCTGGGCGTGATTCATTGGGAGTGTTTGGGAAAGTCGAGAACAACTTTGGACTGGGGACTGAAAACTGAGTTACCACGGCCAAAAGGAAAAGGGGCCGGTAAACTAGCTTGAGCTTGAATCTTGCCCATTTGCAGGGGCCAATCATTTGGGAAGAACTTGGGTTGTGCCGACATGTCGTTGTGTGCATTCTAGATTGATCGTGGCTGAAAGATGGCTGAATGATGAGCAGTAGATATCCAACACCCTTTTTCTGATCAGTCTTGAAGAGATCTGGACTGCATCCCTCATCGCTCTGACGCATGGAAGAACGAGCTACCGGACATGGCCAAAGGTCCTGCTTTGCGGAAGATGGGTCCGGTGATGATGTCACAAAACTAATTAGATGTCAGAGGGATGCGGCTACATCCTGAGTGTGAAGACAAACCATGCGCGTCGACTGAGGACTTGATCGGTGCTGTTTGGACATGTTTGGACTGGCTGGGGCGGGTTGGAACTGGTACGGCTGGCACTCATGTTTTACCTGCAAGCGGAAAGGAGCAGAGGTATTGCTGTCAAGCTTTTGTACAGTTCAGGAGACAGGGGTTGTCTCTCAGCTGACACCTTGTCGCGTGGCCAGGTTCGGTTCTGAAGCAGCACACCCACAGACACTGGCTGTGCTGTGCAAAGCCTTCGCGAGCCTCAAGTACCAGGAGCTGCAAGCAATTTAGCAATGATAGGAAGAAAGACAGGGGCAGATCGTGCTGAATGTGGACTCTAGGTTTTGTGACTGCTTGCCCGCAGATGGCCGAATGCTGTATGGACTCTTACTTCTGCTAGGGGAGAAAAACAATTCCAGGTTGGTTGGTGCTGGTGCTACCGGTGGGTGTGCAAATCAATGGTTTCCAGGTGGGTGAATACAAGTGAATACTAACGGGTTGCAGAAGGCAAGATGACCTCGCTTCTCAGTCGCTAAAATGGTCGCTGCGCGGAAGGCGCGGTAGCGTATTACTGAAATGCTCATGACTTCGAAATCCACTATGATTGACCCGCATCAAGCTCCACTGGCAAGGATGACACCCCTGAGTTGCTTGATCCAGTGCTCTGCTCAGCTTGCATCCAGGACTCAGAGATGCTCAGGGCTGTCAACGAAGCCTTGGTGGATCGAATTCAGGACTTCGGTTCACTTCCGCGCTGATTGTTTAGTGGGGGAGTGGTAAGATGAATCAGCAATGCTGGTGTCAGGTCTTGGCAGATGTTGCTCTCTCTCCCTGTCTTGCGTTCCTCTCTGATCCATAAAACGCAAAGTTTCAGGAGGGGTGAGGACTACTAGTATGTTTTGCTTCAGCGCGTGCTTGGTGGAATTTGCCAGCCTCAGCTTGATGCAATCGTGCCATGTTGGTTAGAGGAGTTGTGTTAAAACTACTTTGGTGAACACCACAGGCAAAGCAGGCAGATTTGAAGACACAGTTGACTCTCACTGGGCACGGCAGATGTTTTCTTCATCTTCAGCTTGTCATGTGGGCAGCTTGAACTTGATGCGAGAAGGCACCGCAACCACCCAATGAATGCAAAGGATTCCAAGGACATGGATCAAAAGCTCCTTTCTGGGATGACAGGATGACCATTGGTTGCAAGACCACTGAAAAGAGGATGTTACCACATGGCTGGGGGCCCAAACCCGCTGAACATCAAAGTAGGTGGAAATCAAATGGATGAACTCATCCACCCCAACATGGGATCGCCATAGGTTTTGCAACCCATGGCCACATGGGAGAAGTGACCATGGTCAAAAGTGGGGGCCCTTTATATTGAAGAGACAAAGACGTGGCAGACTTCGCCAGCCCGCGAGCCGGATTCCGAGGCGTGTCGATCGAAGGCGAGTGGGCCGACTTCGCATAGTTTGCTTTTTGGGGCAATGGACCACTGACAACCTGGAACAAATGGCCATGGGTCATAACCTATGGCTCCATTTTGGGGCGGATGAACACCCATGTACCACCTAGTTTGATGTTCACCAGGGGTACAGGGTTTTGACCCACAGCCAAATCAGTAAGCAAATATGAAAGAAGCAAGAACAGGGCAAAAAATCCTGGACACCTTTGCTCCGGGATTTGCAGAACAAAGGCAGCCAACCGATTGACTGCAGCGGTTTTTGGGTGGCGCGTGGAGGACGCGAACTTCAATTCCGTCGCAGACATCTTGGCCGCCTTTGCAGAGCTGGAAGCTCCCTTCGAGGCTGAGAATTTTTGGTGCGTTCTGGACGGTTCCCAGAAGGTCCAAGAGTTATTTTTGCTTCTTTGGCCAAGTCTCTCAAGGCTTGGCAAGCGCATGACTCATTCGCTGAGTTTAGCTTGAATTGACGGCTGGTCCGGTCAATCGATGCATCGCTTTCTCACTGGCGCTCGGATGAAGCGAAACAAGCTTATCCCAAGGCTTCTCCAAATGATTCTTCCTGCCCATGTCCAATGATTTGGCTGTGGCTCAGAAAACCGGAATTCCAAAATGGGTCAAGCCCTGGCAAGTGGAACCATGGACCAAAACCTGCGGTTTGCCCCTCCGATCGTGGAAAATTTTGAGCGTCCAGGACCGAGTCAAACACGAATTCGATCCTCGCCTGCCTTTTTCAGCAGGCACCGGTGGAGTTCTGGGTCACCCTTGCGAACAAGGCGGGGCCACGCACGGAAACGGCGCACGGAATCGGCTCAAGGCTGACGGACAAATCTACTAGGTCCCCCAGTAGTTCCCTTTCTCACCCCGTTTTTGGGGGAGGGTTCCCCCACTAAAATAGACTACATAAAACAAGAGTACCCTTATTCTAACCTCTCTACTGGAGGACCTAGTATACAACGATTCGAGATGTCCAAGCTTCTGGCTGGCACAACGAAGGAATGTTTCGAGATTTGATCGTGTTCGTCCAACCGCCCAAAGAATTGCCCGGATCTTGAGAATTCCTTGTTCGCGTCCGGGTTTAAAACATGAAGTGACATGTTGATGGACAACTATGAACAACAACGCACCATCAGAAAGTAACAAACCCATTGAGTTGTTTGTGTTTTTAGTCAAACAACCAACAACTCAGGGAAAACCAAAAAGCAAAAACCAGCTTCGAGCAAACCAAAAAACAAAGCGTTTGGCCAAGCCAGACCTTTTTCCTCAGAGTTTGTTTCGGGGTTTTCTCGAGGATTTTTGGTTTTCCGTCATATATGACTGAGAATCAAAAAACCATCGAATTGTTTTTTGTTTGTTTTTGTTCCCCTCAACAAAACAAAACAACTCAGGGAAAACCAACCAACAAACAAACAAACAAACACAAACAATCAAACAAACAAACAAACAAACAAACAAACAAACAAGCAAGCAAGCAAGCAAGCAAGCAAGCAAGCAAGCAACAAACAAACAAGCAAGCAAGCAAGCAAGCAAACAAACAAACAATCAATCAAGCAAACAAACAAACAAACAAACAAACAAACACAAACAAACACACACACACACACACACAATCACACACAAACAAACAAACAAACAAACAAACAAACAAACAAACACAAACAAACAAACAAACAAACAAACAAACACACATAAAACCAAAAAGAAACACACCGTTTGGCAAAACAAACACTTTCCCTCCGTGTGTTGTTTGTTTTTCGTTATGTTTTATTTATTTGTTTGCCTGGTGGATGATCTTTCTTGATTTGTTCTTCATTGTCTCCACTTAAACTACAATATTTGCTAAACACACTGCTTTTTGCATACAATGACTATAACAATGCTAAAACTGAGGGTTTTTGCACAATTTGCGTAGGGCAAATCCAAAACGGAATCCGCTTTGCTCTAAACGGCGTTCTTATGCCAAAACATCATAAAATACAGTGTTTGTTTGAGGCGCAGCAACAGAGGTAGTTCGGGGGGGGGGGGGGGGGGCGACGATATATATATATATATTGCTAATGTCATGATATTATATATCATATCTATATACACTATATATATACACACCACATATATATATATATATAACTACATTTTGTCATGTACATATATATATATATATATATGTCTATGTACATATACACGGATTTATGTAGTGATGCAGTCTCGCCTAGGTGGGAGGAACCCCCATGCGCTTCCTGAGCCCGACACTTCGAGCCTTGGATCGGCTGCAGGCATGGGCCTCACCCCGGGGCGTATGGACCTCCCGTTTGGGGATGGTACCTGCAAAAATGGGGCGGGGGGGGTGGGTGGGTGGGTGGGTGGGTGGGTGGGTGGGTGGGTGGGTGGGTGGGTGGGTGGGGGGGGGTTGAGAGGAGGCCTGAATCACTGAAGGCTGAACTTTAAACTTTTTGGGAAGACCATTTTAGTGGGTAAAAATACAGTTTGGACTTTTTTTGGGCCATCCACTCAGCCAGTGAGGGGGGGGAAAAGAGAGGAGGCCGAAAGGAAGGCGGCCAGAAAATTTTCAAAATGGGGGGGGGGTCTCGAAACTTGCTGCGATAGGGAATGACCAAGACAGGGAGAGGCTTGGTTTGAAGAAAGGTCTAGGGCTCAGGCCGAAGTTCTTTTCTTTTTGTCGAGTTTTTGATTGCTGGCACGTGTCTTGTGGGGTTTGGATCTACTTGCTTTTGCCTTATGCTTGTGAGTTACCCTACTGCCAGTCAAGTTGTCAGCGCACCCACGCCAGCTAGAGTTCTTCTGTTGTTGGTGCTGGGCAACGGGTTTTGCTTAGAATAAACCACATTCAAGCTGTGTTGGGCAGTGCGTTGGCTTATGTTTCTTTTCGCTTCTGGCTTGGCTGCTTGTGCAATTGACGGAGACCCGGCTCACTTCTCAGCTGACGCTCCCAATATGCTACCAACCTTTGGGCGACTGAGTGAGATTGTTGCGGATTCAGCTCTTTGTCCTGGCAAACCAAAACAGCCAAGCTGTTGAGGGATCCATGGAGCTAATCAAATGGGCGCGTCTGAAGATCTCACAGCCAGAGGACCGCTTGTGGTTTGGATAAGGGGATTCGAACGAAATGGTCTCTGGTTCTTGTCTCTCACGCCAGGTCTCCGAGCCTGGCCTGTCTGAGGCCGGCGATGCCAAACAATCTCCGCGTCAAGGGGCCGATGTTTGGTTGCGGATGCGAATTGCTCACAGGGTTTTTTGGGTTTTTGCATGAGACACTAGCTGTTTCACGCAGCTGGGCACTGCCCTCGGACAGGAGCAGAGAGAGATGCGAATAGCTCACATTTCTGAAGAAGCGCTCTTTTCTGGGGGACGACGACCCTGCATGGGTTGAGCGCAAGCAAACGCGGCACGGAGGTCCCATTTTTTTCGGAGTTCGGGACTCTCGTGGGTTGAGAGCACGCAAAAAGGGGCTGGCTGGGCGTCCCATTTTTCGGAGGCCGAGCCCAAAGCTGTGCCAGGCCCTGGGCAATGAGGTCTTAGCCAGACTGCAGGAAGTGGCGGTGCCGCAGGTGCCGAGAAAAACGACTGGGACTTCCGGATCAATAAGCCCCTGTCTAAAAAAAGGTCCCCCAGTAGTGCCGTGTTTCCCCTTTTTTTTTGGGGGGGGGGGGGCAGGGGTCCCCGACTAAAATAGACTACAGAAATAAGGGTACCCTTATTCTAGTAAAGGGATTACTCTGGGGTCAACATGAATGGGAACCCCGGATGAAGCAGAACCCTCAAGGGGTCCTGAGAGGGCTTCCATGTTAGTCTGAGGCTAAGCCCGTTGGGGGTGTCCACTTTCAACCACAAAAAAACATCAATCGATCCCCGGAGGTTTGTCTCTTCGGTGTCCAGTTTCAGGGCAAATTCCTGGACTGCCATTGGGTGTAACATCTTTAGACTTGATATATATATATATATATATATTTCCGGGGGAAGGGGGTGTTGATATATTGATCTGATTGCTACTTAAGACACACAGCAAGCGCACACGCAGGCATTCAGGCATGCAGGCACGCAGTCAGGCTGGCAAGCAGGCGGGCAGGCTTGCAGGCACGCACGCAAGCACGCACAAACGCACACACACACACACACAGTGGTTTCCATTGAACCTCCCCTTTTGCAAGCGGTTCAAGCAAGAAGTAGGTCATTCAATGGGGTGAAGTCTGATGATTGGTGAAACCGAAGACTCGTTTTCCATTGAACCCACAACAAGTGTTCAGCTCAGACATGTTTTCCGCAACAAACGTTTTATCAACTTTTTGCAGCGGGCTCGTTCCAGCAACGCCAAGATCCGCGGCTCGGGTATCTCTCTGAGAGGTGCCGCCGGCAGCGCCGCCTCTGCGGCGCTTGCCGGCGTTGAAGGTGGAGCTGCCCACAGACCTCCTGCGGCAGGCCATGGGGTGTGGTCCCGTTTTTGGGTTGGGGTGGACGTCTTTTTGTTTGGCTTGGTGTCGGGGTGCAGGGAAACCGATTTTCTTCGGTTGGTGCAGGGAAACAATTTTTTGGTTTGGGTTGGTATCAATTTTCTCTTTGGGTGGCCATGGGTGGGTTGTGGTCCTGTTTTTGTTTGGGTTGGTACGCAGGGAACCCAAGTTGCATCAATCTTCTTTGGGTGCAGGGAAACCAATTTTCTTCGATTGGTGCAGGGAGAACATGTTTTGTTTGGTCGGTGTCGGGGGCACTCCTGATGTTGCATGCGATTGGGACATGTTGCGGCGGATTTGAACACGGGTGCCATTCATTGCATGTTCTTTTGCGCCAAAAGGATGAATGAGGGTTGCCTTTGGACCCACTTCGGACAAATCAAAGCAGGGATCCGCAACGGGTGTGGAATCCGTTTTCCCCGGTCCTCTATGTCCCTACCAAGAGAGCCGGGAGGCAAACCCTTCTGACACCTGCCTCTGATTGGATGCAGTCTTGGTGAGGGAAAATGTAGCATGGCCTTTGTGTCGAAAAGCTGACGAGCCCATTTGTCACTTGTCAGATTGCCGAGGTTTCAAGTAAGTGCAGAGATAGCTTGCTGGTGCTCATATATGAACCCACAATTCCCCTCAACAAAAAGAAGCCACAAGAGATGGTTTATAAGGTCATTCCCTGTAAAAAGTTACTGCTTCTCCGTAAGAAGTGGAGCCAGCGATGTCAAACTGGCAAACTGAGGGGTCTGGTTCCGACGCCGGAGCCCCAGAGCCCAAGCCAGGATCTTCTGTTTGCTTTCTATTCGACTGAGGCTTGTGCGAGGTTTCAGTTGATATGCCAATGGGATGCCATTTTGGGGTAGGTGCACCACCCCACTTTAGAACCTATTTTAGTGGGGATCGGGATGTTCACTGGGGGTACGGGCTTTTGACCCATGGCCATATGTGCTCAATGCGCCTTGACCTTTGACTCCAGTTTTTCCTCCCGTCAAGATAGCAGGTCCCGGTAGAACGTCGACAGCCATAGCTGGTAGGGGTTGGTGCGTCGAGGTTTTCGTGGGCTCACCATCGTCAGTCACGTTCCACCTTATATTTTGACACCATCCAACCTCCCGTCCTGGGGCATTTGATTTGTAGTGCTCCTTCCGTCCTGGGCAGTTTGAGACCGCATCTCCTGGCCCTTCGCTGTGGTCTGCTTCGGCGGCGGAAAAAACCAAGCCCACGGTTTTTTCAACGCGAAGACGCGCGCCAAAACCGTGGGGCCTTGATCGAGTCCCGTGCTGCCGTGCTGGGATCCCCCGGCTCCTTCTTCCAGCTTCGGTTTCCGCCTGAATTCTGCGGGGGGCTGATGCGGAATGCGGAAGGCCCTATCCAAAAATGCCATTCCGCCTTGGTGTTGACCCAATATTCATCAGCCTTGGTTTGTTAGTAGGGGGGTGTTTCTGGGGGGAACCCCTCTATTAATGTGGAGATAGTATTAGTAATCCCCCCCCTATTAAACCGGTCCACCCCCAGTGGCTGCTGTTATCTCATTCTCTCCATTGCTTCTTGAGCTCATCTCTCCAATGCAGTCTGGTCATCGCTGGCTGGGCTGAAAACTTGTTCAATGTAAACTGCTTTTGGCTGCCTTTGGCGGATGCCTTTGGCTCAAATGGGCTCATGCTTTCTTCTGCCTTTCTCTTCATGCTACCTCTTTGCTTGGGGCTCTGCACCTCCTAGTCTCATCTTAAAGCTTTGTAGATGCTTTTGTGCATGCCCAAGCCACAAACAAAATATGATGTCTTATTAACTCCTTCACAAAATAATAATAATAATAATAATAATAATAATAATAATAATAATAATAATAATAATAATAATAATAATAATAATAATAATAATACTAATAATAATAATAGGCGGTTTCAATGGGTACCCCAAATTAGCCCCTTGCACCCCCAATAAATACCCCCCCCCAAATAGTATGGGTCCATCAGCCCAGCCCCAAAAAGTAAAAAGAGATGATCCAGCAATGCTAAATCAAATGGAAAGTGAAATCCCAAATACCAAATCAACTGGACAGTCAAGTCATAATTCAAAAGGAAGTTCCAGCAGTAGTAAATCAATTGAACTGTGAAATCCCATACTACTAAATTGACTGGCACTCAAATCAAATTCAAAGGCAGGTCGAGCCATACTAAATCAACTGGAATCGCAAATCCACGAATGCTAAATCAAATGGAAACTCAAATCCAACAGTACTAAATCAATTAAGTGGAAGCTCAAATCAAATTCAAAAGGAAGCTCGAGCAATACATAAATCAAATGGGGAGAAGGACCGAAGCTCCTTTTGGAATTCATCTGGAGTTCTGGGATCCGCATTCCCAATTCACGAGTAGTATTGCCCAATTGAAAGTCGAATTGCCCAATCCGATGTCAAATAATTCAGGGGAGGCAGGCCAAAAAACCTGCCAACATCTTGCCCCCCAAAAACCTTCTGACCTTCAAGGGGGCGTTATTAATACGGGGTTTACATTAATAAACTGGGGTTGAGAAATATGGGGTGAACATTAAGGCAGAGGTAGTTGGGGGCTACCTTGGTTGTTCAATGCTTTTTGGTGCGGTGCAGCCTCGTCGATCCCGGGCGCGTTCTTTGTGTAGGAATGCCCAGCGAAGATTGCATCGCAGGGTCCGGCATGGGTGGGTTCGGTTCGCCGCCGTTTTTCTTACCATGCAGAAGCGAAATAAATTATGCTAGCTCACACTTCGCAGTGTGTGTGTGTGTGTGTGGATGCTTCTATTTTGCAAAGCACGCGCGCGCGCAGTCTTTCTTTGTGGGTTGTGCGGCGGCTGGACTATTTTAAGTGCCAACATCTCCACCCAAACTCTCGCTGTTCCTGGGAAAGGCTTTCACACGTATTGCGACACGTACGCACACAGACACACACGCACACAGACAGCGCACGCGCGCGCGCAGCCGATGGTTAGACAATGTGCAGTTTTACCCGGAGAGTTGGTGGGCATTACTCTTGCAACCGCATGGGACTGGCATTGCGGCTCTTTCGTGGAAGCGCTCGACAAACCTTCGCAGAAGGTGTGCGCATTGAGCAGGGTAAGGATCGGGGCTTCTGTTTGGTGCAACTGGCTCACCAGCCCATCGCGCCACGATCAGACGCGGACGCATCGGTGGCACTCAACCGGCCGGACGGCTCTTAACGGGGTGATCAAACACTGTTGGCAACCGAAGCATAAGGCAAGCAACTTTAGAAACATGCCAGCATAAGCAAAGGTTGGTGCCTGGAAACTGTGGAAGACCTGGCGGCAGATTGCAGTATTTCAGATGACTTCAGCAAACAGTGCAGCATGGCAGTTGGATGTTGGGCGCAATATGGCGCAATTGACTTGGCGTTAAACTAGGGAGGCAGAAGGCCAACTGTCAGACATTCTTTCTGCATCCCAGGCCAGCTCTAGCACCAGCCCCGAGCCCGAGGACATACCTCTGGATCTCTATCTCACATGTGCGGCTCACAATTCAAGAGGTAGGGTTACGCAGGGTTTAGTCTCTGGTTCCATTTACCAAGGTGTATTTTAGTACAGGTGTTTGAGCCACAGCCACATGTAGTTCGGGAAAAAGGTCATGATGATTCCGACAAGAATCCCGATGGCTCAGATCCCAGAAAGTCAGATGAGCGCGCCTGTGGTTTTTTTCTGGTCCCTGAGTAGAGGTGGACAGGTCTCGCAAAGCCAAGTGCAGAAGCTGTGTTGTGATCCGCACGCCCAGCGAAAAACGTGGAGGAGGTGATGGATGACGTCTTTGAGGCGAGCGGCTCTTGTGCGGTGTGGCGGGCGATGCTCGAAGTGAAATTGCCTGCTTCAAGGTGATGCCATCAGCGCTCGTTGATACGGTCGCAGACGAGGCTCGTGACGTTTGAGTCAAGGCAAGCGCTTTTCATCAGGCTCTGAGGACAAGACCTTGCAACAGATTTGCTTCGGCAAAGGTTGTGTGTGTGTGTTTTGCCAACCATGTGAAATAAAAGGCGGCTGGCTGCAAAGATGGGACCGCTTGTCTTGAAGGATGAAGAAGATGACGATGCCCAAGCAGCATCCAAGCGGAAGAGGACCTTGATTGCCCACACCTTCAATGTGCAGCATGAAGTGGCATGTTGCCGCTTGATTCCATGGATGCAGTGCCGGGACTGACGCGCGCTGTCCATATTTTTTCAGGAGGCGGTGGTACAACGCCGTGTCCCGCAAGCTGGATGTCATGAGCCTCGACTCTTTAAAGGCGGGTGGCCAGGTAGAAGGGATTCTTTGAGGATTGCGGCACTGTTTTGGTCCTGGGGTTGATGCCGCACGGTGTGAAATTGTAGATGCCGAGTCGTGTGAACAGGGGATTGCAAATAGTAGGCCGTGCAACACCGGAGTCGCGAACATGCTACCGCAAAGATGCCGCGTCATGTCGTCACGCAGGTCCCCTACTATGCCACGAGCTCGGCAGTGCAGTTACATTCCGCTTTAGCTACCTAGCTACCACAAGTTCAATCGATTTGGCATCCCAGTTTGAAGGTGATTAAAGATGCATCGACCCAAGAGTCCAGGAGATCCTTCGAAGAGATCAGCTACGCGGATTACCCCCAACTCAAGGGCTGATTGTAGGCCCCTTAAAACGCGGCCCCTTGTGATGAGTTCAAGGCTCCTTTGTAAAGGAGAAGTGCCAGCCACTCCGACGCCACGTCCTCCGCCCAAGGGCGGGCGGCGCTGAGGCGCCCTTTGATCCAGACCTCAACTACCAGCGGAACCTGCGCGGTGCTCGAGTAGCGCAGGCGGGCTCTTCGCACAGGTGTCCAATTTTTGGTTGGTGGTTGGTCTTGATCGATGGGTTTCGATCCCTGGTTTACCTGGTTCATCGTCTACCAGGGGAACCCATCTAGTTCCCTCTGGCTCTTCGCCTGGAAATTCGATAGCTTCGAAGAGGAGATGGCCGCCAGGCCAATTTGAAACCCGCTGGTTGTTTTTGTCCAAACAGATGGCTGTGGCTCAAAAAACCGGAATTCCAAAATGGGATGCCCTGGTAAGTGGACACATGGACCAAAACCTGCGGTTTGCCCCTCCTGTTTAGTTTTGAGCCACACCCAGATGGGTCCGAATTTTCATTCGGGTCCCTTTGGCGGACGTCAGAATTCGGTGGGATCCAGCCATATTACGTGTGCAAGCTACAGTCAATGTTACAACTGTCCTTGACTCCTAAGCAGTTCGAGCATGGGTCTCAACTGACTGACTCTTTGGCTACACGTGAACACATGCCTCACCCGGCCTTCAAAAATCGAAGAATAGAACCACCACAACAGGTGAGGTGTGAAGAACACCATGAATTACTCAGGCAGTTGAATTGTCAGTTGGATTGTCAGTTGCCGCCTCTTTGAATTGGGTTCTTTTTGGCGTGAGTCCTGACCTGGACAGGCTCTGGAAGGCCTCGATACACTGGCAGGCAGGAATGCTGCGATGTCGTACTGCTACTCCAATAGTTATGAAGAGCAAGATGAGTCGGGAGAGGCGGAATCTGGCAAATGAGTCAAGCCATCTTGGCATGTGGTTCTGAGCCTTCTCGGATCATAGTCTTGCACCTTTCCGGGTGCATTCTGTCACTGCAATTGTTTGGAGGTGTTCCAAGCGCCGGGATTCTTCTCTAAACTTGGCCGAAAGCCATGGTTTTTGGTCCAACTTTGGCACAGATCAAGAGGCGAGGCCGCTGGGAATTAGCTCTCCTGCCCTAGGCGCTTCACCGCCAGCCGCGGCAGGACTGGCGCAGACAAGTCCTGCTTGATTTCAACTGACCGCATCCATCGGTGCCAACACTGCCGTTCCGCCGACGGAGCCTCTGACTCTGAACGGCGAATCTGTGGAGACCTCTGTTTTCTCCATCGATTGCTGCAGGAGGTGCTGAGCCGCGGCCCTGGCATGTTTGGATTTTATTCGCCGCCAAAGATGAGTCGTTTTTTGGTTTGTTTTTCCTCGGAAAACAACCGCCCAGTTCTGCGAACCATTTCGCATGTTCTGGAACGAGTGCTGGTAAGTGATGGTAGATCTTCAGGGATGCGAAGAAGCATTCACAACTCGCTTGTTGACGATGGTCCTCAGAGAAGCGGCAAGACACTTGAGCCGCTTTCTGGGTGGCATCCAAAGCATGGCAGACGCGGGGTCGAATGGGCTGAAGCGGAGTGGATGGGACCAATCTTGACGGAGCTTACGTTGCATGTGGGCCAGTTTCGAATGTGCCTTGCATTGTTCCAACACTGACGCACCCTGACAGTGTCAAGATATGGCTGTGGGTCAAAACCAATGGTACCATTTTGGGGTAGGTTGCACCAACCATTTTAGAGCCTGTTTTTAGTGGCTGGATTGGGATGTTCACTGGGGCTCTACGATTTGGATTTTGACCCATGGCCATATGTGAAACCATGAGGTCCGTGGAGGCTGAGCTGCTGAGCAGTGTGACGCGGCTCAAGTGGGAGGATTGAGTTGGCGCCGCGGGCTGGCTGCTTTTGCCTCTCGTGTGTGGTTTGAAAGCCCTCCTTCAGCAAGAAAACTCATGGCCACAGAGGAACCAGGTTCGGGGGGGGGGTCGAACAACAAGTGGGGGGGGGACTTGTTGTTCGGGAGGGGGGGGTTGAACAACAAGTTGGGGGTGGGGGGATTTGTTGCTCCAGCACACATACCAGACGGTCCCAAAATCTGGACAGAGGGCATCGGTCGGTCGTTGTTTGCGGCAGTTTTGCGGTATGTTCGACGGCACAGATGACTTAGGGTTTAGGCGAATTGCTGTCATTCTCGGGTCATTTTCAGATGCAGGTTACTGTGGCCTTTGCAGACTGCCGTCGCTTTGTTCCGAAACCATTCCCCTCAGTTTGACTCGCTTCTCTTTGCCTGCCCAGCGGAGAGCGTCGGTTGAGGCGTTGGTTGGGAAGCCGAGCAGTGCCGAACGAAGGGCGCGACTTTTGGTTGGGAAGTAGGGTTCCAGCTGATCGGATTGCTCAGTGATTTGGGTGTGGGCCAAAATGACATCAGCAGAATGGGCTGCCCTCGATATGTGTTGAGGGCAACCAGTTTTGGGGTAACTCCAGTGGTTGATTCCTCACTCTTTTCAGCCATTGTTCTTTTCAAAGACCGATCACCATTTCCCCCAGGGTTTCAGTTTTTGGCGGGTTTCTAGAAAGAAATTCGGATCCCTGGAAAAAATGGAAATGGAAGTTACCCCCAGAGTTACCACCACCACCACCACCACCACCACCACCACCACCACCACCACCACCACCACCACCACCACCACCACCACCACCGCCGAGTTACCCCTAGAGTTACCCCCCTGCGGCTATTTTCGACATCGGCGTTAGGCAGAGCCGTTGGTGGCGGCGGGGGTTCAGGGCCTGTCGCCGCAGCAGCTGGTGCTGGCGGCGGAGCTCTTCATGGGCCGAGGCGGCTGGAGGGGGTGGGGGGGGGGGGGTTGGTGGGTTGCGGTTGGTGAGTTGGGTTTGGGGGGGGGTCGGGGGAGAGATGGGGGGGGCTTCGAAATTTGAGAGCTAGGGCAAATCGCTGCCCACCGAATAGAATAGAATAGAATAAAATAGAATAGAATGAGTCGAATAGCAGAGGTCATGACTGGGGTCCTTCGTAATTAGGAAAAAGTACATGAGTGCAAATGAAAGGACGAGAGAGGAGTGATTTGTGTGAGAGGTGTGTCAGTGCCAGCGTTTCGCAGCAACTCGCTTGTTCAGTGACAACAGTTTCTCATTTCTCTGAGTTGGAACCCAACTTAAATCAACTGACCAGGAAGGGAGGTTCCTTTCCCCGATGGCCGCGGGGTATGATGAGAATCTGCCAAGTCAAAGACTCATTGTCACAGAGGGAAAGAGGTCGAAGCCACAAATTGGTGGCACATCCTTTAGGCTTTCAGGCTGCTGAGCTGCAAAATACGGGAGACAACTGCGAAAAAAAGTCAACCCGGAAGTCAAGCAGGTGGGAGGTTGCAACAGCCCCCACGAGAGCCACTGTCCAGAGTGGCCTTGCCAGGGGAAGAGGCAACGGCGGCATGCTTAGCTGGACGCTTCTAGCACTGCTCAGTCTCATTAGCGTTGCAAAACATGGCCTCCAACAACGGGACTCGTAGGTTGTTGACTGCTCCTGTCAGCAGCAAAAACAATCAATATTAAATACATGGGCTACACCTGGCACTTGCTTGTAGAACTGACTGGTCGCAGGTTTGGCATGTCAAGCATACTCCTGATTCCACGTTGCTGGAGACCGCGCGTGCGTGCGATTCGTTGCACCATTGACAACGCTTGCTAGGGCTGATATCTGAGAACCACATGACGGCTGCTATTCTTAGGGACACACATCTCGAAAGACATTGTACACATGCAATAATATTCGGAATCACAAGGCGAAACATGTCCAAACAACTTACAGGACATGTTGGGTCAACGCTGAGACAACAACATTGTGTTGGAAGTGCCTTGCCTTGCAGCCCACATGTTGCTGACCTTTGGCCGGAATGGTTTAAACTTTGAAGCGGTAGCTGTTCAGTTGACACCCCTTTTCCTTGGTGGCTCCCAGCCATCCGGTTCCGTACCTTTTTAGCTTTTCAGTGTTGTGGGGATTTGCATTTAACCACTAAACTTTTAGCGGGGCATCTGATGACCGCCCAGTTTTGCATTCTCATCCATGCAACTGCCCACACGTGCAGCATGCTAACCTGTCATCAGTAGTTGCAAGACATGCATGTTGCTGGAGCACGGCACAAGGAGGTATCAAGTGCCGTTCAGTGCAAGGCCTTTTGGGCTTGTTCTGCCTGAGCGGTTCATGAGTCTCCAACACTTCGTTGAATGCCTCGCGGGTGACAGGGCTATTGAGATGTCATCCATGGCACTGTCAATCTGAGCTTCCGACATGTAGGCGCATGAATTCATTTGGCCTGTGGATCCATTTGGGGTGTTTACAAATCTCAGGGAAGGACGCGGCTTAGATTGCTGGACAAATGTGATGCCTGTCAGAAGGACACTGTTTGATGACCTTTATGTAATAAGTCGTCAGACATTGGCAAACCTGCAGATGCACCAAGTTCCGTTGTTCGCACAATGGCAAACAGGCTGGCGCGCCCTGTGTAAGCTTGTCCGATGTGATCATGAAATGCTTGATCATGCACCGCACATTGTTCTAGTATGCGTTGAGGCGAAGACAGCGTGTGCGGCACCAGGAGTTATCAAGTTCCGTTCAGTGCAAAGCCTTTTAGGCTTGTTCTGCCTGAGCGGTTCATGAGTCTCCAACACTTCGTCGAATGCCTCGCGGGTGACAGTCCATTGAGATGTCATCCATGGCACTGTCAATCTGAGCTTCTGACATGAAGGCGCATGAATCCATTTGGCATGTTGCCAGTGGAATTCACAAATCACATGAAAGGGCTCGGCGAAGAGAACGGGAAAAACGAGATGCCGGTCAGAACATTCTGTTGAGGTCATCCAAGCCTTCATGCAAAACATTTTCATTTATCGGCAAGTCTGCAGATGCATCAAGTCACGCTCATCTTTTGCTTTTAGGTTTCAGGCTTGGTTTTGGCTGGTGATCCCTGTCAGGCAATTCTTGCTTGGCCTGTGAGCGATGTTAATCTCTTGTGAAGATATGAATTGGGCAGCCCAGCATGCACCGCACATTGCCCTAGTTGTGCGTTGAGGCGAAGAGAGAGAGAGTGCACAGCACCAGGAGATATCAAGTGCCGTTCAGTGCAAGGCCTTTGGGGGCTTGTTCTGCCTGAGTGGCTCATGAGTCTCCAACACTTCGTTGAATGCCTCGCATGTGGCATGCAGGCGCATGACTCCATTTGGCATGTTGCCAGTGGAATTCACAATTTCATGAAAGGGCTCGGCGCAGAGAACGGAAGAAATGCGAGTCAGGACACGCTGTTGGATGACCTTCATGTAAAACATTGTCATAGATCGGCAAGCCTCCAGATGCACCAAGTCACGCTCCTCTTTTGCTTTTATGTTTCAGGCTTGGTTTTGGCTGGTGATCCCTGTCAGGCAATTCTTGCTTGGCCTGTGAGCGATGTTAATCTCTTGTGAAGATATGAATTGAGCAGCCCAGCATGCACCGCACATTGCCCTAGTTGTGTGTTGAGGCGAAGAGAGAGTGTGCAGCACAAGGAGATATCAAGTGCCGTTCAGTGCAAGGCCTTTTAGGCTTGTTCTGCCTGAGCGGTTCATGAGTCTCCAACACTTCGTCGAATGCCTCGCGGGTGACAGTCCATTGAGATGTCATCCATGGCACTGTCAATCTGAGCTTCCGACATGCAGGCGCATAAATCCATTTGGCATGTTGTTAGTGGAATTCACAAATCACGTGAAAGGGCTCGGCGCAGACAACGGGAGAAACGCCATGCCGGTCAGGACACGCTGTTGGATGACTTTCATGTAACACATTGTGATAAATCGGCAAGCCTGCAGATGCACCAAATCACTCCTCTTTTATGTTTCAGGTTTGGTTTTGGCTGGTGATCTATGAGCGATGTTGATCTCTTGTAAAGATGTGAACTGGGCAGCCCAGCATGCACCGCACATTGCCCTAGTGTGCGTTGAGGCGAAGAGAGAGTGCGAAGCACCAGGAGATATCAAGTGCCGTTTAGTGCAAGGTCTTTGGGGGCTTGTTCTGCCTGAGCGGTTCATGAGTCTCCAACACTTCGTGGAATGCCTCGCGGGTGACAGTCCATTGAGATGTCATCCATGGCACTGTCAATCTGAGCTTCCGACATGCAGGCGCATGAATCCATTTGGCATGTTGCCGGTGGAATTCACAAATCACGTGAAAGGGCTCGGCGCAGACAAAGGGAGAAACGCGATGCCGGTCAGGACACGCTGTTGGATGACCTTCATGTAGACATTGTCATAGATCGGCAAGCCTGCAGATGAACCAAGTCACGCTCCTCTTTTGCTTTTATGTTTCAGGTTTGGTTTGGCTGGTGATCCCTGTCAGGCAATTCTTGCTTGGCCTGTGAGCGATGTTAATCTCTTGTGAAGATATGAATTGGGCAGCCCAGCATGCACCGCACATTGCCCTAGTGTGCGTTGCGGCGCAGAGAGCGTGCGCAGCACAAGGAGATATCAAGTGCCGTTCAGTGCAAGGCCTTTGGGGGCTTGTTCTGCCTGAGCGGTTCATGAGTCTCCAACACTTCGTGGAATGCCTCGCGGGTGACCGTTTATTTATATACATGTCATCCATGGCACTGTCAATCTGAGCTTCCGACATGCAGGCGCATGAATCCATTTGGCATGTTGCCAGTGGAATTCACAAATCACATGAAAGGGCTCGGCGCAGAGAACGGGAGAAACGCGATGCCGGTCAGGACACGCTGTTGGATGACCTTCATGTAGAACATTTGTAATAAATCGGCAAGCCTGCAGATGCACCAAGTACGCTCCTTTTTTGCTCTTA